TGCAAGTTCTCTCTCCATGGATGGATGACATATTTACATGTGTATAGACAAGACATGATATATTTTCCCTCTAGATTCAACCAGTAGGTTGAATTAACCAGTAAATTCTTACCACCAACCAAACCCAATCAAGGAAAATATGGAAGAACAAAAGAGAATACAGCTGGAAAAAGAGAATCCCCCATGGACCCAAATTAATATGAACTCACTGAAGAGAGAGAGAGACCAAATATTGAAAAGAAAGAGTATATTACATTGACCTCCCCTAAAGTTTGACAAAATTACACCAGCCTCCCTTGGTTTTGAGTTCACATAGCAAATTAAACCATAATGAAAAGATTGTTAATAAAGTACCAACTATTGCTTATGTCATGCCATATATTTTTTTAGACGTCCAAAGTTACTTTATTTCTTTGTTTCTCGATATCTAAATAACCATACAAGAATGCCTCATATTTCATATATTGGAGTAGATGTGGTTCACAGAATTAAGGCCGGGTGACTTAAGTGGAAGAGTGCGTCTGAAGTACTATACGATAAACAAGTACCCATTAGACTAAAAAAGAAGTTCTATAGGACGGTTATTAGACCAGCGATGTTGTATGGAAGGGAATGTTGAGCAACTAAGAAACAACATGTGAAGAAGATGAGTACTGCTGAGATGAGGATGTTAAGGTGGATGTATGGCAAAACTAGAAAAGATGGAGTTAAGAAGTATATTCGAGAATGGACAGGAGTAGTACCAATAGAAGATAAGTTGAGAGAGAATAGATTGAGATAATTTAGTCATATACAACGGAGATCAACAGAGGCAATAGTGAAAAGATGCGATATAGTGACGGTAGATGGTATTGTTAGGAGGAGTAGACCTAGATTGACGTGAACTAGTGTATTACATAGAGATATGAATCTCCTTAATTTGATTAACGAAATGGCCTTAGATAGAGTTGAGTAGAGAAGAAAGATTCATGCAGCCGACCCCATTTAATAGGACTTAAGGCTTGGTTCGGTTTAGTTTGGTTATACTTCATATATTCATTAATACATATATGGATAACCAAAATCTTCTATTTCTAAGCAAAGTGATAGAAGGATTGAGATGAGAAAGAAGAGGGGGTGAGGTGGTGATAGATGGCACTAGCGCTAGTGACTTTGGGCAGCTCTGGCAACAGGGTTGGTGGCTCTGGGCAACGGCAACAAGGAAGATCTCAACAACATTCCAAATCAAAGAAGATCATGAGCAACAAAAACCCTCAATTGATTGCGATGGCTTGTAGTGGTGAAGGGGATAAAGGGGTGCTGTGTAGTGGTTGAGAAGAAAGACGAAGAGGAAGTCAACAACCTAGAGAGAGGTGAAGCGAGAAGTCAACAACCTAGATGGAGGTGAAGATGTGGGCAGGGGTGTAGCCATTGAGAAATGGGTATAATTGCAAGTATTTGGGGCAAGAGAATGATCCATCACCATTTATTGATGGGTACTACTTTGTTGATCTAAGTGGAGTAGAGGGAATTCCCAACACCGTTGGATGCAATAATGGTGGAATTTGGAGTGGAGGTTTATGAGTTAAGGATCGGGTGGGCGTGGTGGTGGCTATGGTGGCAGGATGAGTGCTGTGATGAGTATTGGATGGTTGGGAGGTGGTTGAGCTACTACTGTGGAAAGTATTGGGAGGTTGTGGTAGTTGTGGTGGTGGGTATAGGTGCTTCAGGTGGTGCATATGGGTAATTCGGGTAATGGGTATGGGGTGGATTGTCGTAGCAGTGTTGTGGGTAGGGGTGGAGCAAGGTGAGTGCCTATATGGCAATAAAAGGAATGGTTGTTGCAGCGACAAAAGGGGTGGGGAAGGAAGGAGGCGGTGGCCAATAGATAGGGAAGAGAGAGGTTGTGGGTGGAGGTGGATGGGAAAAGAAGGCAAGTAATAGAATGGAAGATGATTAGTATATTAAATAGTTAAAAGGACAACATTAGCATTTGACATTAATTTGTACTTAAAATACAAAGGTGGTTGAAATCAAAAGATAAACTCTCAGTAATGAGAGGGGGTAGAACAAACTAACAATCTATCATGAATTGTCTTTTCAAGCTATCAAGGGATGAAATCCTAAAAATATATAGGGGTAAAAAAGTAATTCCATCAAGTTAGTTGAGTCTTACTTTATGATTATTTAAGTTAGATATAAATTTGATTAGTTTTCTAGATGAATTTTTAAGCTTTATAGGTTTTGCATTTTGGTAATTTTAGAATTTTTGGGAGAAAGGCTGTAGGAATCACCCATGGTTCACTATATGCGTTAAGTTATGTTATTGGATCATTTTATTAGAAGTCAAAAATCTTAGTTTCCGAAAAAGGGAGTTCAATTAGTTTTAGATTTAGGATTTCTTTCAATCTATATGAAGTCATGTAATGACTCTACTTCAATAGAGTATAGTTTTTTAGAATTATCAAAAGCTTTTCAAGCTTCATTGGGATCGTTCGATGTTAATTCTAACCGTAAGTGTGATGCCTACAAGGAGAATTCTACCGTACACACTCCTAAAAAAGTGCATACCGTATGCCCTTTCATAACTACATCACAATGATTCATAACAAAACCCAAAAAAAAAATCGTAAATTTGCTCACAACAAACTTTCATAACTTTTTAATGTTCAAACATAACCACAAGGTTCTTAACATAACCACAATGGTTCATAACTAAAACTTTTCTTATGGTGTGCCCCTTTGTAACTACACTACAATGATTCATAACTAACATCAAGACTTTTCTTATAGTTAGACCCCTACTTACAAAAGCCAGATGCGAAGTGTAGACTTTTTCTTCTTCAATTTAGTCTTCCTGCAGGTTTAGCATTTAAAATAGTAAAACCACATATGCATTATCCCTTGTTCAATCTTCAAGCTTCATAATTCCAACGTAACTTGCAAAAGATCACAAGTCCAGCAAGGTTACTATTCACAGGACAGCCCTAAAATAAGCCCTAAAACCTTGTGTTTTAATTCTAAAAATTCTACCCTTTTGTGACCCAAAAACAAACCCCTTAAAAACCTTATATTCTTACTACTCGATAAACAACAAAAGGCAATTAAATCCAGGCCCGAAGCTACTTTCTGCAGCCAAACATCAGTTTTGGGCTCTCTCCAAGTGTGATATTGCTCATTGCACTTTGCCCTACTTCAAAATAATTTCAGTCCGTGCACAGTCATTTCTACTTCTTCCAAAGTACGACATTTGCTCTCCCTCTAAACAAACATCTTCAAAAGCATTCCCCTGTAGCAGCCACTTCGCTAAAAGTCATATAAATGGAGAATTCATTCTGATATCACCAGTTAAATGTATATGTATATATATATATATATATAAAATAAAAAACTCCAGAGCTCCCTCCGTACATCACAATGAAGTAAGAAGTGGGGTAATCACCACATCCCTAAGAAGTACAAATATAAACATGGACACAACAATTTTCAAAAAAATAGAATACGACCATGAAGGGATTACAACCAAAAAAACATATATAATATATAATTTTTATTTGTTATGTACTTGAATATAAATTTAGAGCACAAAGATGTGAGACATTGATGTATATTTTGGCTGTATTTTTGTTTTTGTTTTATACTTTTCCTTCCTTTTTTTTTTTTTGGCGGGGGGTGGGGGGTTGCAAAATCAACTTTTCAAAATTATTTAAAAAAACCAACAAAGGTATTTTGAGGTGTGCCCAGACATGCTTGACGTGTCTCTAATGAATTCTGCACAAAATTTAGGGAAAAAAAAAAAGTTTTTGACATGCCACATGAAGTGTCCAACATATGTTGGTGTATTACTAAGAACAAGAAAGAAGAATAACCAAGAAGAAGAAGAATCTGGGATTGCAATCCCAAAAATACCGAACTTAATATTCAATATTCATCAAAGGCTAGCTATTCAAAACAATACATGAGCCATATATATAGGCATTGTAGGAAACCATAATTAAAATTACAAAAAATAAAACCCATACAACTAATTTAATAGAAACTAGAAATAAAAAAAATAAAAAGAAAAGAAAATAGAATAAAAATGTCTATATTCTTTAATTGGTTGTCACCCAATGCCTTTACCCCATCATGTGTCCATGCTATATTTGTGTCCAACATGTATCAAACACGAACACAATTCGTAGTTTATGGGATAAAGTAAAACCAACCCATTATAATTGTGTATCTTTAAAAATGCTTTTGACAAACGAATGTCCCTGCAACAAACATACCAAGAATTCAACATGTGTCACGCCTCCAATAACATATCCAACATGGTTGAAAAATTACTGTCATCCTTTCCTAATCCCTTCCATACACTAAAACCATGCAAGTCACTGACTTCCTTTGTTGACAACCGAACCACTCCTCTCCAAAGGCAGCCCTCCTCCATTGCATATTTCCATAAACTATTTTCTCAAACGGGTCTGATTGAATTGACTAAAATGAGAAATGCCCAAACCACCTTCTTTTAACAAAGTGTACATCGTCTCCACCCAAACAAATGATTTTTAATTCATAACCCAGGCCACCCAAGAAAAAATCTATATTAATTGTTCAAACGCATCGACAACCCAAGCAAGATTAAGTTGGTAAACTAGACGAGTACTGTTTACAAAGGGTAAGCTTGACTCAAAAAGAGCTGTTTGATGGAAGCTACCCAAACAAGAAGCTTACAGCTGGATGTGGCACCTGTTCTTCTATATTTAGGGATGAGAGAATTTCATTTGAAGAGCTTTGTTAATCTAGTCCATATAGCAGGTTTGCAAAACCATAATGAGGTAGGATCTTGAATCATGATGTGTTTAGGACGGACATGCAAGGTGCTGAACGACATAGAATTGACTATGATCTTGAAACTATGTCAAACAAACAAACAAACTATGAAGCAAACAAATAACCAAGAAAAAAAAATGAACACAAACTATGTCAAACAAACTTCTAGTTAAATGAACACAAGGAAGTGATGAGACAAAGAACCAAGAAAAAATTACAAAAGTGAAAATTTGGAAATGAAACATTTTGTTAAAAATGTCAAACTATGCTCATAAAAAATATCCAGCCCAGGTACAACAATGAATCTCATCAATTAATTCCGATATCCAGGCATATTTTCTTAAACTACAAAAGGTGAAGAACAGGAAATGACACCTCCAAAAAAGCCTAAAAAGCAGAATTTAAATAAGTAACAGAAACGAGAAAATCCGCTGGCTAGAAACTACCTGAGAAGCCTCTGCTTTAGATCACATGCATATATTTACAATAGAAACAGACCACGAGCACTGGAGACCAACTGAATCAGTGGCAGTGTACATCTACCTGATCGTGACAAACTTATTCGTCCCATGTTTCGCCCAGTGAGTCCTCAGATCAATAGCATTAGAGAAGTTATATCCATCAGATGAAAGCTTTTCCAAGACCTTTTTAAATGCTCCCAAACTCATCTTCCTTCCTGCTATCCTTGCACCACGCCTCTTGGTACTCATTGGCAAGGGATACATTGACATACTCGTGGTACAACATGCAGATTGCCACCCGCCAGAACCCCACCGATAACACTGCTGAGGAGTTCCAGTGCAAGAGCAAACTGGTATCGGAATGCCTGAAATATCCATATCAACTCCATTGACAACAATTTCCATGCTTTTCTTGGGGGCCCTAGCCCGCTGTACTGATACACTGCACTCATCTCTTGGGGAAATTGGGGCTTTCTTTGCCTTCTTGGTTTTGGGAGATTTTTCAGTTTTATTGCCTGCCCGCTTCTTCAGAGGGCCACCACTGTCCCTTTTAGCACTAGTCTCTTCCATTTGAGCAACACTTTCATCCTTTGGTGAGTCAGTTGGCTGGAGCATCTGCATGTGCTGCCCTCCAGAGGTCTCAGGCAATACATTAAAATTGGAGTGATGGTGATTTCCAGGTAGTGCATTGAGATACTTTTCCCTCTGGTTGATCCAAACATCCCTGATGTAGTCCATGGGCATGGGTGATTCGGAAACCCCACAAACCCTAGGGTTAAAAGGCCCAGTATTGGTAGGCATGTGGTGAAATGCTCCACCATTGGCAGTGGCCATAACAGCAGGGTGGCTGCGGCCTCCAAGAAGAGGCTTTTCAGCCCCGGTGGACATGAGCTGTAGACCCAGGTGGCTTTTGAGGGCCGTCGGAGGTTCATAAAAACCCCAATTTTGTATATTCATACTGCCATTGCCATCCATGATGGACTGCCAAAACTGAAGCAATAACTAAGCTTGAAGAAAGCAGAAATACTATCAATATAGAGCAATGCACCCAACCAAAAAATGTAACGTTTTTATCACACAACCCAATCAAATCCACTGCATTTTGTGCCGACACTGTCGAAACCTACAAAAACCCACAAGAACAGTGAAGGCATAACTAACTACAGAGCTAGCTGAATCAAAAAAATACGAGCATATATATAACACCCAGATTGTAAAGAAAAACTCATCTGTACTGAAAGAAACGAAAGAAAGAGAGAAATTACAAAGAAAAGATGGCACCAAACACACCTGAATGTCATTATTGATGTTCTAAGAAGGAGCTGAATTCAAATCCACACCGCATAAAGTCGATTATGTGCAATGTAAGCTAAATCTCAAACCATTTTTAGGGTTGCGATGACGATGTATAGATCTATCTATGTATCTCTGCAGTGCGAAGCCAACAAAGGAAAAGATGAAAAGAATTAGATTTTGGAAATCGATGATGATACGAGATTAGTGATAGATAGTAGATACATCAAATCCTAAAACTCAGATAAGAATACATCAATGACTATTGTAGAGAGAAATGTAGAGAGAGAGAGAGAGAAAGAGATGGCGATACTTACTGAGAGCAGGCGGAAGGACAGCTGGTTAGGGTTCGAAACGAGGAGGAAGGCCAACAAACAAGAAAGAGGCAAACAATAACTGATGGATGGATAGATGCATCAATAAGTATATCTTGCTAATTTCGTATTTATATATTGTGGGCGTTTAAAAAGTTGCTATTTTAATAAATTATTTTAGATTTTGGTTATTTTAGCCTCTGTTTGGCAAGTTAGTTTTCAGGTTTTTTTGGCTATTTTAGTCACAAAAAACAAAATAGGCTATTTTAGCCATAACAAACAAAACATCACATCCAACCTATAATCATTACATTCTTCTCTCACAAAAAAAGTCAAAAAAACCAAAAAACTCTTCCCAAACCAAGCTTTTTAGCCCAGGCTAAAATAGTCAAAAAAGCCAAAAAGCCAAAAAGCCAACCTACTTCCCAAACCAAGCCTTAATAGGTTAAAATTTTTGTGTTTTAGAAGATAATTGAATTTTTTTGTATTTAGATGTGATGTTTATAAGAGAAAAAATGAAATGATTATGAATTTGATGTGACATTTTATCTTATTGACTATTTAAAGCCTATTTTACTTTTATTTGAATTTTAGTCCAAAAAGTCCTAAAAAAACCCCTTCCCAAACACTCCCCAATTATATGAGGAAAATGGTATTTAACCCACAAGTCTAAATATTATATAAGAAAAATTGGTGTTTAATTATAAGTCTTGTGAAAGTTTTAATATCTAAATTTTAATTTTTTAATTTTTTGATTTAAAAAAAAATTCAACATTTATTAACTTTTTCTATATCTACTCTCGCATCATTTTTAACTTCTCCTATATACTATTGTTAGTGATGAGATTGTTAAATTATTTTTATAAAAAATTTAAAAAAATAATTTGTATATTAAAAAAATATCTTAAACAAATATAAATTCTTATTAAAAATAACATGTTGTAATTGTGAAAAAAAAAATAAAAAAATTACACTGTACAAAATAATTTATATATTAAAAAAATATCTAAAACAAATATAAATATTTATTAAAAAATAACATGTTGCAATTGCCAAAAAAAAAAAACATTGTGAATTTCATTAATAATGCTAAAAAAATGTGTTAAGTATTTGTGTAAAGACTTGACACGTGTCCACTCTTAAATTAGTAAGTGAATATAGATGAAACCAAAGAATTTACCTTTTATGCTAACAAATATTAGAAGTCCCACAATTGAAACTTAATAACTATTAATTAATAGAATTTAGCAATTGAAAAGTCTAAAACCACATTTTTTTTTTGTCTTCTCAAATGTCTCTTTTTTTTGTTCATGCATGCATTTTAATATTGATAGAGAATTAGACGTGTGGAAGAGTGAGAGACATTAAAATTATATATTGAGTTATGTAATTGTTATGATAAAAAATAAATGTTATCTTTCTCTTCTATAGCGATTTATCTGGTTACACCTCTAATTAAAATGTCATGTGTGTTTCTACATCATCATTAAAATGTTACTTTTATATTTTTAGATGCTTTGTCTCACAATTGTTTGTGTTTTGTGTTATGAAATTTATTACATATATGCTTGTTAAAGCTATTAGATGGACCTAATGTAAGAAGTATAAATTATTTCAATGTCATTCTCAGGATTAGAAGTACAAAAAATATATTCAAAAAATATATGAATAGATAAGATTTTACAAAATTTGTTTGTGAGTCCTATTTCTTGAAAATCCTATGAGTCATTTATTTTTTATATTATATTATATATTTAGTTTATGTACTATTTTTTTTATATAGTTTTTTTTGTTTTCTTTAAAAGTTTATTTTTAAAAAATTAATTAATAAATAAATAAATCATTTTCTATTTCAAATAATTTAATTTTTGTTTTTATTTTTTATTTTTTTTCTTAAAATAGTTTTAGTTTTGGGCAATTACTTACTTTTTTTTTCTTCTATATATTGTAATTTTGTGCATTTTAAGTATATAATATATTCACTAATACACTCGGAGATGCACTATGAAAGAAGCATCGTGCGAAAATCAAGAAAGAAAAAGAAAAATAAATAAAATAATAAGATGAATGTAGAGCAAAAATCAAAAATTCCAAAGCAAGCAAGCAACAAGCAAGTGGAATAGAATATTTAACAATCAACATTTGAAAATTTGTAACAAAATTTTATAAGTTTCCTTTTTTCGAAGAAAATTCTATTTGGTACTAGCTAAATAAAATATTTTTAAAATAGTTTTTTTTTTAATTTTTAAAATTGAAATTAAAACTATAATAAATTTGTGTAAGCATAATTGCTAATCACATTTTTTACTTAATATATTTATATTGACTACCTTTTTCAAGTTTTTTTTATTTAAGTATTTATATAGAAGTAAAAAAATGTCATTTGGAATTTTTTTTTTTTAATTTAGTTAAAAATTTTATCCGTACTTTATTTTTTAAATTTTGAATAAAAGTAAATATAAAATAATTGATTGAAGACATGTTGCATTTGTTACATTCCTTTTTCTGTGTAAAAGAAAATTGAAAATCACAATTTACATATATACAAATAATTATAAACATAATACGTGCATAGCACGGATGGAACATTAGTTAATAATAATGATAATTACCCTGTTTGTAACTTCACTATCTTAATTAATTTTTTAACTTTTTAATTATTATAACTTGATTAAAAAATTTATATTTGAAAAAATAGTTAGATTTTTATTTTTAGTTGATTCGATGGTTGTGAAAGAAAAAGTAAAATGATTATAATTTGGATGTGATATATTATTTTATTCGTTATTTTAGGAGTTGTTTAAGATGATTAAAATAAGTACACTTTTTGACTTTTTACGAAAAGATATGTAAAAAAGTAAAGAGTTGATATGACTAAAAAAAGGTATAAAAAAAATATACTTATATAGTGTACCCCAAATAATGCCTTAGCATGTTTTGTCTTTATTGACTATTTTATCTTCCAATTTTCTTTCCAAACGAGGCCAATAATTATGTGGGAGGGCTATTTTTGCATCCTAATTTTCTTATCGACTTCCAAGGTTATATCTTGATTTCGGTTGCAAATGAACAAAACTGTTCATGAAGAAGCTTGAACACGGTTCGGTAAGTACTCATTCTAATTCAGTTCGTTTCTTAGAAAAAAAAAAAAAAAAACTAATTCGTTAAAATTTTATTGAGTTGGAACTACACTTGAACTCGTTAAATTTTTAATAAATAAGTCCAAATATCAACTCGTTAGCTCAACGCGTTTAACATTTACTTAAATAATAAAATGAATATATTATATATATATATATATATATTAAATAATATAAATATCTTATTTATATGATATAAATAATAGTTAAATTAATTTATATATAGATAATAGCTAACTATAAACAATACATTTATATAATAGTTGTGATAGATATTACTATTTTGATAAAATATTAACATTTTTCTTTTAGTTTGTTTATATATATTGTATATATAATTATATAATCAAAGTTTCAATTGTAATTTTAGTTTCATACTCAAGTATGAATTTATAATTTATTTGGCTCGTTAAGGATCATGAACAGAATTGAGATTGAGTCAAGCCTAAGCTAACTCGGCTTAAGTTCAGTTTGTTAAATTTTTATTGAGTTTGAACTCGCTAAAATCTTAATAAATAAGTCTAATCATATTAAAACTCGGTTCGGCTGATTTGTAATCTTAATCTCGATGACAAAAATTTTATCATTATTGTTGTTGTTGTTATTTTGAGTTATTTACACCAAGATTGCTAAATTGTCAGTGAATATCACTTTATTTTTTTATTTATAAATTTGTATATTTTGATATCCTCCTCAATTATAAAAATGTATAATTTTCACCTTTTTGTAAACCTTTTCTAAACTATCACAAAAAAAATATATTTATACAATTTTTATAATTGAGAGGGTGATATGTATTGACTCACAGATGAGACTTGATGGGTTTTTAATGAATTAACTCATTTTTTTTAAGGGAGGAAATGAGAATCATTACACACCGTTTGGACGATTTTTAAAAAAAAATAAAAAAAATATTATATATATATATTGGCATATAGGCAGTAGCAGAGTCAATAAATTAAATCAGAAGAGGTACTTATTAATTATAACATTGAAATTTTTTACAAAAATATTTCATATAAATTTTTACGATTGACTTCAAGAAAGATAAAAAAAATGTTATTTGTAACTAGTGTATCATAGACAATATAAAAAAAAGAAGTTATGGATATAAATTTTAAAATAAATTATATAATGATAAAGTAATTTTTTATACAAAATATGAGTAAAAATTCAATATAATACATAATAATACTACGTCATCATTGACATATGATATCACTAACCAATAATAAAAAAACATACGGAGGATAAACCTCACATGTCAAAATGTAATTAACAATTACATATCTTTATTGAGATTAATTATGTTTGTATGTCAATAATAATAGACATCACCATTATATTGAAATTTTCATAAATAATAATATAACTTATCGTAATCTCTTTATTTTTAATCAAAACAACCATTATTATTATCATAATTAAAAAAATGTCATTAACATTTTACTCTAAATAATATTTTTATTTAAAATATTTTCTTTATGCTTGCAAAAAAAAAAAAAAATCCAAAATCCAAAGGGGACACGTGACCCTCCTAGACCTCTTTACCTATGCCTCTGCATGTAGGGGTGCTCGCAAGTCAAGTTTGGATTGGACAAATTGGGTGTGGATGCCGATAGAATTGATAAATTGAGCAAATCTTAATTTAAATAAATAAATAAAAAAAACCCTTAAATATTTATTGAACAAATCCTACTTAACGAACAAAAAAAATTAGGCTGTGTTTGGTTGTATTCTCAAAAATATATTTCCACCCGTCCATTTGCGCATCACGTTTGGATATAATTTTTAAATCATAATTCCATCATACAATTCAAAACACATCTCACTTCCCGTTTGGCAGATTGCTCCCTTCGTTTCTCCACTATGAAAAGCTTTCAAAGGTACATATTCTGTGTCTTCGGTCTTCTTTATTTCTGAAAAGCTTCATGTACAAAGAAATTTATGAACTTCACGAGTTGTCTTACTCTCTTTGAAAGATCACAGCTG